GAATACTTGTAATAACGCGACTGTTCATCGGTCGATCGTGTCTCTAGATAATGGATTGCGTCGAAATATCCCCAGAGATACCAGAAGATTTCGTGAGGAGTTCGTGTTAAAATTATATAAGTTATAATTTATATAGGCTTGGTAGGTTGTTACTGAACCTTTTCTGTAGAGGGTACAAACCCCTCCTTGTACTCCTCTCTCTTCCTAATCCAACCCTCTTTTCCTCTCCTCAACTTTCCTAGCACCTAAAACCTCTCGCCATTCTCATGGCTCCTCCTAGCTCCTAGCTAAACCTTGTGCCATTCTATGGCTTCCTAGCTAAGCTAGTCTTTTGACATGGTATCAGAGCAGTTCGTTCCGTGTGGGCCTGCTCCTCGCGTTTCCGCTGCGTGCTCGTTTCTCTCTCTATCTCGCGCTGCCATGGCGGCCGCGTCAAGCTGCTGTGGCCGCGTCGTCGTGCCGCGGCGCCGCTGTCGACGTCCATGGCGCCCGCGTCCAGCTGCTGTGGCCGCGCCGTCGTGCCGCAGCTCCGCCGTCGCGTCAAGTTGCTGTCGCGACGTGACGGCGCCGTCACGCTGCCGCGGCGTCTACGCGACAGCGCGCAGTCGGCGTACCAGCGACGTCGTGCTGCCGTCGCAGCGTCGACGCCCCGCTGCGGCATCGACGCCGCTCCATGACGGCGTCGTCGGGCTGCAGCCGGCCGCGTGACGCTTGTGGCGCCGCTAGACCGGCCGCCCGCATGTCAGCCTGTGGCGCCGCCCCCCCCCCCCACCCCCCCTCCTTCCCCTGCGCCCTCTTCCATTCCGCAGACGACGGCTGACTCCCGCCGGCCGTCCCACAGTCGCGGGGCCAGGCCACGTCACCGAGAGGTGCGGGTGCCGCCGCCGCTGCCGCTGTTGTCGAAGCCGCCGCCGCCGCCGCTGTCGCCGCTTGCGTCGGGGCCACGCAGCCGCACGCCGCCGCCGCCGCCGCTGTCGACACTGCCGCCGCTGCCGCCGTCGCCGCCGCAGCCCCTGCGGTCGACGTCGCCGCCTCACGCGCCGTGGGGTCGACCGACCTAGAGTCGCTGTCACTGTGGCTGGAATGGGGGTGCTAGGTTAGGGGGTGTGGGTGTGTGTGGGTGTGTGACTACCAAGCCTAGGGGGTGTGTTAAAATTATATAAGTTATAATTTATATAGGCTTGGTAGGTTGTTACTGAACCTTTTCTGTAGAGGGTACAAACCCCTCCTTGTACTCCTCTCTCTTCCTAATCCAACCCTCTTTTCCTCTCCTCAACTTTCCTAGCACCTAAAACCTCTCGCCATTCTCATGGCTCCTCCTAGCTCCTAGCTAAACCTTGTGCCATTCTATGGCTTCCTAGCTAAGCTAGTCTTTTGACAGTTCGAACTCGAATCCCCAAGTATAGAAGTCACGGCCATAAAAGTAAGTTGAGGTTTTCAACTTGGAGATGGCTAGAAAATCCGCTTGATTTGTTACAGCTTCTGCAGCAAATGGTATTTCTTCTGCCATTTGATGTTGCTGTTATGGTTGTTGTTGCTGTGGTTGAGCAGGTCGCCCATGGAAGGCAAGGATGTAAATGGTAACTCTGTCGAGTATACTTCAACAATGAAAAATTGCAACTTCCAAAACCCGACCCTAAAAAACGGGGGCTCCTGCTGGGGGCACCCTGAGCCAATAGCCCCTCAAATTCGAATCTGAAGCCCTGTGCCTGTTCCTCCCCGAAGGTTTGGTCGAAATTTACGGAACTGATCGAGGGGTTCGAGTGTTCTAGAATAGCACTACATTACCGTTCGGTAAGGAATTAGAAAATCCTTACGATATAGTTGCTACGCAACCCAAAAATAAGCAGTAACAAAAGTGTATTTATTTGTGTAAACGCTTCCTCTCTGAGAACTGCACCAGTTTTCGGTTCGCCCTTCGTGCGAAGAGCTACTGGTTGGCTGGTCCTATCCAGTCTCGCTGATAAGACAAATGCCTCCGCTAACATAATGTGCATTCAAGTCGCTCGTGCGAGTTATGGCATGTCGTGGCGTGTGGTGGTGGGAGGAGACGGCTGGGGCCACATCTTTGTTTGGATACAGGTTCACTTTGTTGCGGCTGTTCAGTTTTCCTTTTTGAGCTCCCTAGCTCACGGGCTCACAGCCCGCTGCGGTGCGAGTCCGGGGTAGGGTGGGCAAAATATGACAGGCTGGGACCCTCTGCAGCATTCGCTTGGCTTCGGTGTCACTTCCTTGCCGAAATAAGGTCCCATGCCTCCATTGCACGCATTCCTACAACTCCTGCCGAAGATATTTCAGCCTGTGGTACTTTCGCCACATTTCGGAGCAATTCTTGTGACGGTCGGAAATCTTTTTTATTTTCTCCCAAAGTTTGTCATTCGTGGTGTCTGGTCTGGATTCGCGTTCGCGAACTACAGTGCAACCCTGGCTCAACCTTGCTTGATGTGATGTGAACCCCATCCATTGCATTGAAAGGGGGTTTTATTGTTTATGACCGTCTCCGGACCGAATGACTGCTATACACTCGTGTGACATTTATGCACGCGCGATTCGAGACTTTAATTGTCATCGACCTTTCCCTAAATAGTTCGCATTTGTCAATGCTTTTGAATTGTAACTACGAACGAACGAATTGAACAAAAATCACGCCCTATAAAATATTTTGACGTGCCCTGCATTATGCACTCACCTCTGTGCTGTAGCTGGATCGTTCAGTCCGAATGATGTTTATTCTGTCAGAAGTGAGATCGTGAAACTCGTCAATCTACATTATTTGTCGCTGAAGCGCAAGACGGCTGGTGGGCAGAATTCACGAGTACAATTTCGACGGGAACACGTCATTGTTACTGATGAGGCAAAGTGTGCTATGCAGGGCACGTCGAAATGTTTTTAATGTTTATGTTAGTTTCTGCAAGTCTTCCAATTTTGTTTTATGGATAGAGTTGATGACTACATAATTCTCAAATCGCGCTGAGATAACTGCCATGTGAGTTTATGACCAACATTCGGTCACGGATACGGTTGTGAACAATAGAAAAACTCGATTCAAGACCAGACTGGTGGGAGTCGCGCTCCACGCTAGCAGGGCGCTCGGCAAGTCACGACAGCTCTCAATGAGACCGCCGAAACCCGCCTGACACTGTGCCTAGCCCGTCAAAGCAGGAATCCTGTCTGTTTCATACGCCCTGCCCGCCGCTTCCTAAGGGAATACGCCCTGCCCGCCGCGGTAATTTCACACCCTGAAACTGGGCGGCAGAAGAATTTTTGTTTCCATCCTGACCATTTCGACCTAAGCTTGGCAAACTCATTTGTCCTTACGACCTAAGCTTGGCAAACTCAATGCGGGCAAAAACTTTTAGCATTGCCTAAGATGACGTCGGGTTTCCTCTCTCGAGAAACGCTAAATCGTTTCCTATAGAAACCCAAGTTCAAATTTGTTTTCAAGGGTATCCGGATCTGATCTTCAAGAGCTGCTTTCGGGGGGTAAATACCCTATCGGCGGCATTCCCTGTGAAAATATCGGGTGTGAAAATACCGCTGGTTAGGTGTATTTATTGCCCGTCTCTAGCTTGATTGGCAGTAATGCTGCCCAGCGCGTAGGGCGGGAAAAGGGAAACTCGCCTTTGCTACACTTCCCCCACCCTGCCCAATTCCTCGTTGGCGGGGAAAGACACGCCCAACGCGGATGCTGTTGCCTGCCCCTCTCCCACCCACCCCAACAAAGCTGCCCAACACACGACACGATCGCGTTACGCAAGCCATGCCGGAATTATGGGCAGCCAGCAAAAGATGCCCAGCGCATATGACTCGTGGCGAGCGGGAAAGCGTAGAGGCAAGGTTGGGAGGGGAGAGACAAGACAGTGAGGGGCAAAGGAGGGCAGGGCAGGGCGGCGGAAGCAATGCTTGGCAGCAGGCCAGCTCAATCGGGAAGCCCAAGCAGCAGTTAGGCAGCAGTGTCCCAATTCCAGAAACGCGCGCATGTTGAAGCCCATCCAGATCTGCGTCTCATGCTGTATCGTCTTGTCGGTCACTCAGGGAGCATTCAGCAGCGTGTGTTCGACCCGAGGTTTTAGACGGAAGAACTGAGGCTGGAAAAAAATTGCCTCGGCTCTTGCGAAAAGCTGACGGCTCCAGCCAGTCAGCTGTCAAGCCGAACAACTAGCAATGTGAACTTTCACCAATCATAACTTCGAAAATTTCTGGTGGACCCGCAAAGTTCGATTAATATTGTCGCAACCCTCCCCTTGCGACAGTTCGCGACTCTGCAGCCGCTGCACCGTCGAGAAAATTAAACCCGCAGTTAGGTTGTGACAGCCCGCGGGTCGACCTCAGGTCTGATACTCGCTGCGGAGACTCCCTTAGTGTGGAGAAACCGAGGGAATTACTAAAAAGTTGCGAATCGCAACTTGAATTTCTTTCTGAGCAGCACATTCCTGTCCCCCTGCCCGAGCCCGTCCTCAATTCCTTTTGGAGGGGACAACAGATGAGGTCATGTTTAAAATTTTGGCACTAACGCCCTTGTCGAAATGGTTGTTCGACAGCTGTTACATTTGTTTACAAGAAAAAGAAATATAACCCATAGGGACCCGAATGCTATCTCGGATGGCATCAACCCTAAACTCTCGAATTTTGTGGGATTTTAGTGTTGATGCCACCCTGAACACTATGCCAGGCCCCTACGGGTTTTAAGTTATTGCTCGAACCGGGTCGATACCTGATGTAAACACGACCTGGCTCATCATTTCCTCCACAAGGAATTGGAGTCGTGCTCGAGCAGGGGGGCAGGAATATGCTGCTCTGAAAGGAATTCAAGTTGCGATTCGAAACTTTGGTCATTCCCTCGGAGAAACCACTAGCGACTAGCGAGCATGTCCCCTCCCAAGGTTTTCGCCCTGGGGAAGCCCAACTGTACCTTGATTCCCATCGTGGCGGCCCATCACTTTGTTCACTGCTCAATTTCGGGCTTTCAATCCGACAGGGCCAGCACAGGGCATGATTCCATTGATTCCATTGACGTTTATTCTCAGTCGATTTATTTTTCCGTCGCCAACCCATTTTTTCACGTCCTCCCTTCCTAATCATCACCGCGAAATCGGTCGCCGCGCCGCATCCATCGTCCTCCCTTTCGCCACGCCGCCAAACCCGCGCACAACGTATCCATCCTCCGCCGGCGCTTCGGGGGCGGAAGCTGCGCACCACCAAACGAGCCGAGGGGTTCGCCGTGTCGCTCGCCGTGTCGCTCACCGTGTCGAAACGCCGCGTCACTGGCGCCATCTGTTTGACTTCCCACAACGGATTTTTCCCCTCTGCACCACCGACCGCAACCGGCGGCGCCGCCAGTCTCTGACGTGGAAATCAGATCGCTTCTCCGTCAGCCTCGCCGTCCGCTGCTGCCAGCAGTGCTTTCTCTCTCTCTCTTCCCGCTAACTGACAAGAAACGCCGCCTGTTCCCAGCCGAAGGCCGGCATTCCGTCGCCCCCGCTGGTGTTGTTTTTCGTCGACTAAAAATCACCTTCCGAGTCGGCCGGCATGTGTCTTCCGCCATCCCCCCCGCTTCGCAGGGATTCCGCGCTCGTTGCGCGCACCCCGAGCGCCAGCCACTGGCATACGCCTCTCGAAGACTACCACCTCCACGGCGATTACCACTACCAGCAGCATCAGCATCAGCATCAGCACGAGCATGAGCACGATCATCGGCAACAGCATCAGCATCACGCCATGGCTCATCAGCCGTCGGCAGAGTCTGCTCCAGCAAGCCCCCAGTTCCATCGTCGCCGGCGGGTTTCTTCCGAAACAGCGACTCAGTCTAGCGCCGGCAGCGGCGGCGGCGGCGGCGGCGCTATGTTTCCAAAACCGCCGGCCGCGGGACGACTCGTGGTTCGCGGAGGCAAGCTCGTTCCGCACCCTTCCGCGCCATGTCAGGCGGCGTCGTCAACGCCGCATGCTGCGGCGGCGGCGGTGCCGCAACAGCATTCGCGGCCAGTGAGGCCGCTACGCCAGCGCGAATCGTCACAAACCACTTCGGCGGCTGCCGCGCGCTCATCGTCGCGCACGCCGCCTCCCAAGTTACCCTATCCGTCGTTGACGCCTCCTCCCAGGTCCCCCTGTCCGTCGTTCAGCGCTCTTCCCACGTCAGCCTCTCCGTCATTCACGCCTTTTGCCACGCCTCGCCCGCCGATGCCAGCAGCATCCGACCGTTGCACGAGGCTTGTCTCACCCAACCAGCGTCCCCCCCTGCCGAACCAAAAAGGGCAGGTTCCGAACCAGAAGCTCCGCCTTCCGAACCAGTCGACTCCGCCTCCCCCCCCGCAACGCTCTCCGCCGATCTCTCCGCGAACTCCGCCGCCGCCGCGCCACGCCTCCGCGCCGCATTCTCGACAATCACCACCCAGCCCGTCGCTTTCCCCCGTTTCGCCGAACAAGACACTTGGCGGCGGTGAGGTGATGTTTGCGCCTTCCCCGCCGCCGTCTGCGCCGCGCACGGGCTTCAGGTCGGGCCAGAGGCGGCCGAGCTTCCGCCCGTGCGGGGGTGGCGGAAACGGAACGCGCGGGATTCTGCGGTGCTACAGCGACAATCACATGGAACGTACTCGGCGCGCTGGTGACCCGCGTCATGCGATCAGGATGGGCGGGGGGAACGAGGTCGAGGAACAGTGCGAGTCGCGATTGGAACAGGCGCTTCTGTCACCGCCCAGACCGTGTGTTACGATTCCGATGTGCAAGAGCTGGTCCCCGTGCTCGTCTCCGTCCTCGTTTTTATCCGCCTCACTTTCCTCTACAGCGACCGCGGATTCGTTTCTGGAAAATGAAGTTTACTCAGCTGTTTTCTCTGAAAGCTCGTATCCAGCGGAGGAGGAAACGATCAAGGCCAGCGCCAGTGGCGTCTTGAAACCCTCCAGATCTCCAAACTCGAGCGCGAGCAAGCCCGAGAGGCCTGTTGCGACTAATAGTGTGCGGCGAGTTAGGTTTAACATGGCCGTTGAAGTGCTTTGCGTTTGAACTAGTTACCAGTCGATCGATCTACGGTGCTCTGTTGCGGGTTTAGGCGCAGAGGTAAATTTTGTCTCGCTAGCATGATTCTGACATTTTTGGGGGTTTTGCCCCGCTGCTCGTTCTTATGCGGCATTGCATTTTACTTGTGCAACTCTTGGTACTAAAGAATTTCAGAGAAACCAGGGCATTTAGATCATAATCATTAACCTGGTAAGCTTATAGCGAACGTTGAATAAAATTATCAACCACAGCACACCTGTTGTCTCCACTGCGCATGGGAATTATTTATGCTGGACCTTGTCGAAACAGCTTTCCCTGACTTCCAGTTCAGAGAGATTTTTGCAAGTCGAGCTCGCAGGTCCACAAATCTTGCCATGGCGTCTGAGCCCCTCGCTCCGGAAAACGCGCGTTCGAAACCCGCTCATTTCGACAGCGCATCTCCTCTTGCGCCCGTAGAGTCGGAGCGCGTGCCGAGTAGATTAGGGTTGTCGCGCGCAGTCGAGGCAGCGCGGGCTGCTATTGGCCGCGCGGTGGAGGTGGAGCTCATCAACGACCTCCGCATTAAAGGGGTGCTTTCGAGCTGCGACCAGAGGCTTAAGTACGTTACACGCTGTGGGTTCAAAATAAGCTCTCCCTGTCACCTGCTAGGATGAGATTAACCTGCTCTCGTTCACCAGCTAGGATTGGGACGATGAGTTCCTCGCTGGTGACCACGTCTTCATTCACTCCTGCTCACAAATCAAGGACTGGGTCTGTTTGCGAAGTTCCGCTCTACATTTCAACTCCCTCTTCCCCCCCCCTCCCCCCCCTCCCCCTCCCCCCCCCCGTCCCCCTCTTCCCCCACCTCCCCCTCCCCCGTCCCCCCCTCTCCTCACTCCTTTTTCGCTCCCGCTTTCCCCAATGTCATTTCAGCCCCGTCTTTTCCCTCCTGTCATTTCCCCCCTGTCATTCCCCCCCTGTCATTCCCCCTTGTCATTCCCCCCCCGTCATTGCCCCCCTGTCATTTCCCCCCTGTCATTCCCCCCCTGTCATTCCCCCTTGTCATTCCCCCCCCGTCATTGCCCCCCTGTCATTTCCCCCCTGCCATTTCCCCCCTGTCGTTCCCCCCGTCATTGCCCCCTTGTCGAGCAGTTGCACTGTGACGGCAGCTTCCACTGAAACAGCAATGGTACGTCTCACCATCCTCGCTCACCCCTTCCCCCTCCTCCCCCCGCCCCCTTCCCCTCCTTTCCCTCGCTCCTCCCTTCTCTTTTTCCAACCCTCCCCCCCCCTCCCACATCCTTTCCTCTCCATCTCTCCCTTCCCTCCCACTTCTATTCTCCCCTTCCCTTCACTACTTTCCATCTTCTCTCTGAGCCCTCTGGATTCCCCTGCTCTATTTCTCCCATCTGGTTTCCTCCCTTCTCCCCCCTTTTTCCTCCCCCCTCCCCCCTCCCCGCTTTGTGTTTGCACAAACTTTACTCGATTCTCCCATTACACCATCACAGGGCGAGTTATTATCATTCCCTGCAGTGTTCGTGAGAGCCAGAGCCGTTCGGTTGCTGCATATACCCAGCTTGTGTACATTGTGGCGGCAAGTGGCTTGCTAGAACATTTGTACAAATCGGTTGCAATTCATGCAAACCAGTTGCTATCATTCTGCGAAGCTTACTATCAGCAAGCGAGCCGTTGTTTTCTCTGTATTTTGCGCATGGGGTCCATGTAGATACTGGTAACAGAAACAATGCACTGGCACAGGAGCAAGAGCTGAAATGCCACAAATGTCCCCAAACCAAGCTACCATGTACAAAGAACAGTTTCAGCTGAAGTCGCTCCCAGACACTTCTACATATACTCACACCACCACAACCTAGCGCACGCTAACCAGCCCTGAAAATGCTGGTCATCAGAGCCGACCCTCGGCCAGAACCTCTGCTCTACCCCCATCACAGTCATGCATCCAGATTCCAGACACATGCGCCTCATCCGTGCAAGTGAGGTTGAGCATCTCAGACAATCGGACAGTCCAGTTGCAGAGCCACCAGCCCTGCGGCCGCACGCCAGCTCTGGAAACAAGGAAAGACCAGCCCAACCCGAGTAACAAGGTGTGCATGATCATGAGATGAAAGGACAAGAGGCGGGAAACGCACCTGAGCCTGAGCAACCCTCATGAAATCCACTCGAGCGACAGGTGTGCATGACTACGAGATGAAAAGAGAGGCGCAATTTGTGCAAGGTACAGCAATGACAGCACGCAGGCGCAAAGACAAACAGAGAGTAGCATACCTGACCCTGGGCAACCCTCACGAAAGCCACTCGAGCGCAATCGTCTGTAACTGCTTCGGACAGTGTGGTTGCGGTTTCCGTGGCTGTCGTGCTCGCATTACCCCTTGCTGCAGTACGGGCAGCTTCAGTGGGGTTGTAGCGAGCGAGGGCAGCAGCAGCGGAAGACATGGTGGAGGCGCATCTGGAGCAGGCTGTATCTGCCGAGGAGCATGCCTTGGCCAGGCGAGAGACATTTTGACTGTAAAGGAGGGAGGGAGGGAGGGAGGGAGAGGACAGGGGAATCAGAAGCAGCAGACATGGTGGAGGCGCAACTGGAACAGGCTGTATATGCAGAGGCACACACCTTGGCCAGGCATGCAACACAACATCATTCTCAGCTAAGCACACGTACAGTCGATCAATGTTCTGGCACACATCCGAGGGCACTTGCTGGTTGCTGGATCAACAGCTACGAGGAGGAGGAGAGAGCGACGAGCGGAGGAGGAGGAGGAGGAGGAGGAGGAGGAGGAGGAGGAGGAGGAGGAGGAGGAGGAGGAGGAGGAGGAGGAGGAGGAGGAGGAGGAGGAGGAGGGGCTGGCGGAACATAGCAATCCTGTTCTCCCCATACATCTAACTAAACAGACACACTTACAGTCGATCGACGTCCTGCACCCATACCACAGGGCACTTGTTGACTGCTGGATCCAGAGCCACAAGGGGGAGCAGAGAACGACGAGAGGAGGAGGAGGAAGACGAGGCGTTGGCAGGGGGGTTGCAGAGGGCAAAGACGTTGGCAGTGATACGTGGGCGAACAGGAGATGCCTGCAGATGCGCCTGGAGGGACTGGTGGCACGATAACGAGAGAGAAACGAGAGAGGAGAGAGAGAGGGGAAGGGGCGTTGCAGAGGGAGAATGTGCTGGACGTGATGCGCGGGCGGACGACGGACGCCTGCAGATGCGCCTGGAGGGACTGGGGTAAAGGATTTGAAGGGGAACGAACGAGAGACATGCCGGCTGGCAAGAATCAACCTTCGAAGAAAGAACGGCAAAAGAGAAAGAATGATCAGAAGAAGCAGAAACAAAAACTGCAGCAAGAATGTTTGCAGCATCTTCTAAGTACCTTCCTGCAGGGGGAGTTGAGCTCAGCTTGAGTGGTGATAGCAAGGACGAGCATGGGCTCCCTGGTGGTAAAGCTCCTCTATTTGTGAGAGACCACTCAGCGCCTTCTGCTTACCTTCCTGCAGGGAGTGTTGAGCTCGGGCTGCGTTGTGATAGCAAGGAAGAACATGGGCTCCCGGGTCGCAGAGCCTCTCTAACAGAAGATTGACCCCAGCGCAGACCGACAGGAACCTTTTCTAGGACGCTTGCAGCAGGTTATAACGAGTAACTCCCTGCAGGGAGTGTTGAGCTCTGGTTGGGTGGTGATCGCAAGGAAGGACATGGGCTCCCTGGTGGCAAACCTCAACAGAATGCATTCCTAGGGCGCTTGCAGCACCTGCTTTGTACTAGACACACCTTCCTGCAGGGAGTGTTGAGCTCGGGCTGCGTGGTGAGAGCAAGGAAGAACATGGGCTCCCGGGTGGCAAAGTCCCTCTGCCACGACAGCAGAGGGCTGCAGCACGCATCTCCAGCTGGGGAGGCGCCAGAGCAGGCCGATAGGGCTGGGATGGGATGGGATGGGATGGGATGTGCAAGCACAGGGGAAAAGAAGGGGCAGGAAAGGAGGTGAGCACCTCTTGCAGCAATGGTCCTGGGTGACAACACTCCTCTGGAACGACAGTTTACGGCCGCAGCATGCATCTGGTGCTGGGGAGGCGCCAGAGCACGCTGATAGGGCTGTATCGGCGTGCAAGGCACAAGGGGAGAAGGGAGGCAAGGATTAAGAATGAGAAGTTTCTGCAGCGGGTGACTTGGGCCAGAGAGACACGCAGAGACACGACTCCGGGGGTTTAAGTCATGGAGACCTTACACGCACATGTCAGGCTCACATTGGAGAGGGGAGTGAAGTCCACGTTGCATCCGTGGGTTGGAATCGTTGGGGGTGGAGCTGGCAGGTCAGAGGTGGCAGCTGTGCACAGTGGCACAGCTGCAGCCTCTGACACAGCACAGCTGGCACAAGCTGGCACAGCTAGCACAGCAGGCTTTAAGTAGTGCAGGGATAAAACGGCGTGCGTGACAGACACGTACATGTCAGATTGCCATTGGAGAGCGCACTGAAGTCCACGTTGCAGCCGTAAGTCGGGATCACTGGAGGCGGCGCTGGAACCGGGCTTCTCCTCGCCCTGCTGCTGCTGCTGTTGCCGCTGGCAGCGTTGCTGGTGCTGTTGCCGCTGGCAGCGTTGCTGGTGCTGTTGCTGCTTGTGCTGCTGCTGATGGTGAAACTGCCGCCATCAGTGCTGCTGTCATCTTCACCGGTGCTGCTGTCAGTAGCGGCGCTGATGCTGCTGCTGCTGGGAGTGGTGTTAGCAGGACTGGCAGCTCTCGGTCGGCTTGTTGTCGCATTCGTGTCGGCTGCATCAGCCAGCGAGGCGATGAACGCCAGGGCGAGCAGCATCAGGAGGACCAGGAGGGCAAAGCAGCTGCACGGGAGGAGAAAACACGAGGGAGGATTGCAAACTGACAGTGTCAGTCAAGGAATTGCGACAATCTGTGATCATAAGAGCAATTCTGCTGCCTTCAATGCACGACTAACGGTATGCTGAAGGTAAGAGTGCAGGGCTTTCGTCTGGATCAGGCAGACCACGCAGTGACTGCCGGGAGTCGTTAATGACGACTCCCAAAGCAGCGAAGGTCATACTGTTGCACACCGTTGCATACCGTTGCATGATCGCTCGCTGGGAAGAGGAGGTCATGCGCGCCATGCGGACGACACGCGGTAGTGAGAAGTGGTGACAAGTGGTAGAAGTGGTGTATCGACTGAAATTCAGAGCTGCTTTACTATCGAATCCCTCGAGTGCCTTATCCGTCGGTTATGGTAGTCCATATATAAATACATGACCGCTGAGCCTGGCGACTGAGCCTGGCGACTCTTTCTAGAACTACATGGCCTCCCCGGAACTCAACATGCAATTCACTGCTCGAAAACAGACGAGTCGCGTGTGGCTCGAGGGGGTATGCGAACGACTTACTCGATTGAGATAAACGAATAGAACGGCCCATGGCTTTCTGTGCCTCAATTGCTAGCAAAACCTCGATCCGTTCAATCCAAGGCACTCGCAGAATTTCATTCGGTGAAAACAGAGCCCATCCCGCATAATTTGTCGAACGCTGCGTCGTTTTGCCGATGTCCGCAAGCTAGCCGGTCGAGTTGGAGCTTGTGTATATACTGTAAGTGCTGTACCATTGCGAAAGGCCCGCACATTATTATGCTCCACGTTCGGAATTTCCAGAGCCTAGATTTTGGATGGAAACCTAGACTATGGCTGGCTCCTAGTTTCTGATTTACCATTTGCGCTGACATGTCTGACTTTGAAACAGGTCATGATACGACTGGTCCAGAGCTGCCAGTTCGTCCCAGGTTCAGTATAGGGCGCCGTGTCTCAATTTCGCAAATCAAAAGGTGTAAGAAGCTGTCTTGCAGTATTACAGAAAATCAAGTACAGTTACCAGATCTACGTCTCAAACGCTCAGTGCACGAAGCTGTTAAACTACCCTGCCCTGAACTACGCTCAAAGCCAGGAAATGAAAGCTGTGGTGGTTTGCTAGGGGATGTTGTACGCCATTTAGTAGGCCGCGTTATGGTGTTCCCGTTCAGCACACTTCAACGAAATTCATTTTCACAATGCCAGGTTGAGGTGGCTCTTCCTCATTGGGAGTGAAACCCGTGGCTCAAATCCCACGAAAGCCCAACCACAGAAAGTTCCAGAGGTTCTTCAGCGAAATCGCCGCCCATGGCTTCATTGCAGTTATAATGTTCCGCGAAATTAGCGAAACTCGTACTTCGCCACCTTCTTGACTTTTCTGGATGTTCGCTGGTTTCCGAGTTGCTCTAACATATGACTAACTCCTCGTTGTGTGCTAGAACTAGGGGCTTCCTCTGATTCGTGACAAACGAAACGATGATTGCAGTAACTGGCTTCTGCGAACCAGAAGGCCAGAGAAAAATTCAAGTCTCTGATTTGGGCTGTCGGATACTTCAATGGAGAAACTTGTTTTGAAACCTGTTTAAACAAAATATGCTTTTACATAGAACGTAAAATTCTCACAGAGTGGGAAGAATAGCCTCAGCCGTGCTCCACGGCTTGGCATGGCAGACGGCCAGGGGATAACGGGCCTGATGGCTGGGTCCTGCGGCAACCCAGGAAGGAATGTTTCTGCTGAGCCCAGCAAGTCTGGGTGTGCTCTGGTTGGGTCAAAAAGGCTGGTGAATCTGGGAAGGGAGCTGAAGAGACGCAACGAAGTTAGTGTTTGGTGGTGGTTGGCCATTGTGTTGTTGGTGCCCTGGCTGGATGCTAGGAGAAGAGTTTACCTAGATTGATTTTCTTCGTGGAGGAGACAGAGCGCCAGTGCTACTGACATAGGAGGGTGGTAGATGCTGTGGCTCGTTCGGCGTACGTCAAACAGGCGAGTCGTGCTTCGAAAATACGGGGCGTAGCGTGCGCGCTTCCTTCACGACTGAACTGGACTCTCTTTTACCGATCGAGCCGCACCGATCTGTGTAACCTGCAGCCTAACATTTCGGTAGCACTCCGACCCTAGTCGCCGTCAACGGAAATGGTCGTTAGATTATCCGACATGGAAATGCGAGCAAGAAAATCGGCGATAGCTGCGGATAGGTTAGGCGAGACGGATTCCGTCAAGAGAATTGACGCCGTCAACGGCGCGCTAGAGCCAGCCCCTGCGACGGCGACGTCTAGAAGTCGGCCACGGGTCGAGCAAGAGTCGAATTACGAGGAGCCGTTGCTCGATACGATGAAGCAGGAAAGGGCGACCCTCGCGAAGGGGAAGGAGAAAACGAGACGGATTAATGGCAAGGAAGAGAAAGCGAGACTGGCCAATGGGCCGGAGAAAGCGCGATTCACGGATCGAAGCGGGATAGCAGGACGAGAAGGGCCGGCAGGAGGAGGTACTAACGGCACGGCGTTGCTTTGCATGGCGCTGCTGGCCCTGCAGTACGGCCTGCAGCCGATCCTCACGCGAAAGCTGCTCAGGTAACTGGCGTAACAGTGTAACGGCATAACTGTTTTTATCCAGTATATGCTGCTTTGCATGGTGGCATCTCGAATCGGCCTGTAGCCAGTTCTCACGCAAAAGCTGCTAAAATGACAATTGGATGACAGCTCGTTTTGAGGCGCCTCAAGATTGGGTGACAGCTCGAATTCCGGAATCAGATAAGTTTCTGACGAAACCGCGAAGCCGAGAAACCGTATCGCGGCGATTTGCCCTTCCTTTTGACGCTGTTCTACCGACGCGAAACCGCTACCTTCCAGATCCGTAACAAGCGATTGTCTTTCGATCAGTCCGTCCCCTCTTGCTGCTCAATCCTCAATCCTCTTGCTGTTTTTCCTCGACCCTCCCCTCAGCCCTCACCTCAGCTAACTTCCTCCCCCCCTCCCTCCTTCATACACCCCTCGATTCTGAAATCGGCAGTCGGGACGTGCTAATATCGAGTCAAGTCATCACCTGCGAAGTGCTCAAGGTGAGTTCCAGCGTCTTCCCACGTTGTTCGTGTCACTCTTCCCCGTGTCATCTCTCCTCCCCGTGTCATCTCTCCTCCCCGCGTCCTTCTCTCCTTGTACCCACATCTCCTCTCCTCTTCCTCGCATTCTCTTCCGCGCTCCCGCATCCCCTTTAAGGGGCCCTTATGCACCCATGCCCTCAACAGCCGTGGCCGTCCACCACATACTCTCCCCCTGTTTCGCATTCTCCTCCGGGCCTCATAGCCATAACAGCCATCTCGCTAGACGGCTCCCTCTCAACCACGCTCCTTCAATCACACACACACCCATGCATTTCCCATGATCGCTCGTTCCGTTCGCTCAGGTGCTCATTGCAATCACGGCCATGTTTCTAGACGGCTCTCTCTTCTCCATCTGGCGGCACTGGCACCCCTTGGACTCGTTACAAGCTGCTGGGGTACCGGGGCTGCTGTATGCCGCCCAGAACACCCTGATTCAGATGGCTTTAAGGCACCTGGACTACCTGACATTCAACCTGCTGAATCAGACCAAGCTGCTGTTCACTGCTCTGTCAAACTACCTGTTCCTCAGGTGAAAACAGAGGAGGGTCGGAGGGGAGAGGGGGGAGGGGGGGGGGGGAAGAGAAAGGGAGACTCGTGGTGAAATTTAAAGAATGAACAGAGTATAAATGAGGAAAGCCACGTGGACTACCTGACGTTCAATCCTCCCGCTGAATTAAACCAAGCTGCTTTTCACTGCTCTGTCAAACTACCTGTTCCTCAGGTGAGGCGGAAGGGGGCTTATGTGTGAATCTATGTTGAATCTGACGAGTGATCAGAGTAAGCATGCGGAAAGCCACGTGGATTTCCGGACATTCGACCTGCTGAATCCGACCAAGCTACTGTTCACTGCCCTCCAAAGCTACCTTTTGTTGCCTCGGACCCACCGCCCTGCCCACCCCCCCCTCTTGCTCGGCTGTCTCCTCAGAATCCGGCAGACTCGCCTGCAGCTCTTGGCTCTGTGCCTGCTGCTCGTGGCCGCCACTCTACTAACCGTTGGTCCTGGGCAGCCTCAGTCCCAGGGAAGCAGCGCGTCAGAGAGAGGAGAGGGAGCAGGCATGGGGGGTGAATGGGCAGGGGGGGACGCCCAGAAGGCCGCTGCAGGCGTGGCATGGGAGAGGGTGGTGCTGGGCGTGGTGCCGGTGCTGGTGGCGTCCGTCACTTCTGGCCTGGGCTCCACGCACAACCAGTGGCAAGTGCAGGTGGGTCCTTCTGCTGCATCGGTGATATAAGGTTGGTTTTGAGACGTCTCAAAACCAACCTTATAGCAAGTGCAGGTGGGACTTTCTGCTGCATTGGTGGCAGTTGCGGGTATGATCCATACGCGGCGTGTAAGTGGTGCGGCAGGCGTGGCGTGAGAGAGGGTGGTGCTGGGCGTGGTGCCAGTACTGGTGGCGTCGGTGACGTCTGGGCTGGGCTCCACGCACAACCAGTGGCATGGCAAGTGCAGGTGTGTGCGCTGGATCGTCCGCATGGGTGCAATGGGGGTGCATGTTGACTTCACACATGCGCGTTGGTAGCTCGGGTTCTTTTTTTTAGGCACCTCCAAAACTGGCTCTGGTGAGTGGTGTGCGAGTGGCGTTGAAAGGGTGGTGCTGGGCGTGGTGCCGTTGCTGGTGGCGTCGGTCACTTCTGGGCTGGGCTCCTTTTTTAGAATTCTCAAATATCATCCACGCACAACCAGTGGAAAGTGCAGGTGGGTGGGTCTTAGCGCTGCAAATGGGCACCACATATGGGCACCACATATGAGCACCACATATGAGCACCACATATGGGCACCACATATGGGCACCACATATGGGCACCACATATGGGCACCACATATGAGCACCACATATGGGCACCACATATGAGCACCACATATGGGCACCACATATGGGCACCACATATGGGCACCACATATGGGCACCACATATGGGCACCACATATGGGCACCACATATGGGCACCACATATGAGCACCACATATGGGCACCACATATGAGCACCACATATGGGCACCACATATGAGCACCACATATGGGCACCACATATGGGCACCACATATGGGCACCACATATGGGCACCACATATGGGCACCACATATGGGCACCACATATGGGCACCACATATGGGCACCACATATGGGCACCACATATGGGCACCACATATGGGCACCACATATGGGCACCACATATGGGCACCACATATGGGCACCACATATGGGCACCACATATGGGCACCACATATGAGCACCACATATGGGCACCACATATGGGCACCACATATGGGCACCACATATGGGCACCACATATGGGCACCACATATGGGCACCACATATGGGCACCACATATGGGCACCACATATGGGCACCACATATGGGCACCACATATGGGCACCACATATGAGCACCACATATGGGCACCACATATGAGCACCACATATGGGCACCACATATGGGCACCACATATGAGCACCACATATGAGCACCACATATGGGCACCACATATGGGCACCACATATGGTCACCATTGACTGGGATGTGCGTATGGGCATGACACACAAGCCATGTCACACTTCACAGGTCCGCAGGCGCACGCCCCTGCAGTGAGCGAGCACCATCTCCACGGGCGCAAACCCTATCTCTTGACCATAACAATGGTGTCCACTCACCGCCCTCCTCTCCTCTCCTCCACCCGCCTCCTCTCATCGTCACTTAGTCGTCCGTCCGGCTTTCCTGTCTCCCAACCCTTCAACCACACGTCCCTTGCACCCCTCGTATCCCTTGCACCCCTCGCACCCCTCGCATCCCTTGCATCCCTTGCACCCCTCGTCCTCCTATTCACCCCCCTCTCCCCTCTCTATCTTCCCTCCCTCCTCATCTCTCCTGCTGTCCATGCAGCTGCTGAGGTTCAACCCCAATCTATCGAGAAATGCTCCTTCACACGCCCAATCCTGACCTCCCTAGCCTCCTGCTTACCCTCCTCTCATCTTCACTCACCCTTCCCTCCTCTTCCCACAAATCCCTTTGCTTGGTATTTTTGAGAATTCTCAAAAATACCCTGCGGTCAAGAGGCTCAAGCAACTGTCTTTTAAACATAGAGATGTGTTCCCTCGCATCCTCCTTCATCCACCCTTAGTCACTTAGTCTTCCCTCCTCCTCCCCTCCTTTGCAACCATCCCTGCAGGTCAAGAGGCGCAACCCGCATCTCTTCACCATCGAGATGTGCACCCTCACCTCCCTCACTCTCCTCTTCACCCTCCTCTCCTCTCAAGACGGTGCTCGCATGGCTCGGCTCGGCTTCTTCCATGCCTGGACGCCCCTCACCATTGTGAGCCATGTCATGTCGTGTCATGTCATGTCATGTCGTGTCATGTCATGTCATGTCATGTCGTTTCGTGTATGTGTGTACCTGTCCTACTGCGAGGCCATAAACCTGTTACTGCTCCTCACCCTCCTCTCGTCCTAAGATGGTGCTCGCATGGCTCAGCTTAGCTTCTTCCATGCCTGGACGCCCCTCACCATTGTGAGTCATGCATGTTGTGAAAGCACCTGCCACATTGCTAGGCTATACACCTTCTAGTTCTCTTCACCCTCCTCTCCTCCCAAGACGGTGATCGCATGGCTTGGCTGGGCTTCGTTCTTCCTTGGACGCCCCTCACCATTGTGAGTCATGTGTTACGCGATACCTCGTCCTCGTTTTCACTCCCCTCCTCACCCTCCTCTCCTTCCACGACGGCGCTAGCATGTTCCAACTCGGCTTTTTCCAACCGTAGACGCCCCTAACCAGTGTAAGCCATACCATGCCATACCATACCTTCCTCTCCTCCCACGACTTGCATGCTCCAACTCGGCTACTTCCATGCCTGGGCGCCCCTCACCATTCCAAGCCCCCTTGTGTGTTCCACTCATCTAAAAGTCGGGCGTCCTAGTGAGCCATGCAATCATGCTGACGCCCATCGCTGCTCGTTCATCGCCCACCCTCACTCACACCCTCACCGTCCCTTCTCTCCAACCCTTGCTCACCATTCCGTGCTCACCATCGCGTGCTCGCCATTCCGTGCTCGCCATTCCGTGCTCGCCATTCCGTGCTCACCATTCCGTGCTCACCATTCCATGCTCGCCATTCCGTGCTCACCATCCCTGGCGTGCCATCTTTTGCTCGCCATCCCTGGCGTGCCATCTTTCGCTCGCCATCCCTTGCGCACCATTCCGTGATCACCATCGCGTGCTCACCATCCCGTGCTCACTGATGAGAAGGGGAAGGATTCGACCCGCAGCAAGCCTTCGATCTCACCAACCCTTTCCCACCGTTTCTTACCCACTCCCCAGATACCCGCCCTGTCTAACGCCATAGGAGGCATTCTCGTGGGCCTGGTGACCAAATACGCAGGGGGCGTTAAGAAGGTGTGCTGGGGGGTTCTAAGGGCGAAGCAAGGGGTGAAAATGGGGTGGGGTTATGGGGAAAGGGGGGAGAGAGTGTGTAGCTGTAGGGGTTAAGGAGTCTGGAGTGGCTATTGTGGTTTCGCATCTCTTTTTTTTTTCACGCCTGAGCTAGTTGAATACGCAGCCGTGTCTAGCAAAGAGTCGGTTTTGGAACTAGCTTGAAGGGTATTTATAAATTGATTTCCTGCTATACTCGGCTGCGTGCTAAACTAGCTCAGAAAACGATGTCGCAAAATCACATGCAAAACTTCGATGGCCACACCAGACTCCCCGCCCTTCCACCCCTTGCTGATTCTCTCCAGCTAAATCAGACACTTTCTTCCCCTCCTCCTGTTCCTTCTTCGTTCTGCCTGTTTTTGAGGCGGCTCAAAAACAGACTCCAGCTAAACCAGGCACTCCCTCCCCCTCCCCCTATTCCGTCCCCCGTTTTGCCCGACTCACAGGGTTTCACGGTGATAGCGGGTTTGCTCGTCACTGCTATCGTGCAATACCTTCTAGACGGCACGCCTCCCTCCTTCTTTGTCTGGCTGGCCCTCCCATTAACCATCCTTAGCACCGTCCTCTACTCCACCTCTGCTGCACCTGCCAGTGCTGATCGTACACGCAAGAAGAGCCTCTAAAGTGGGTTCGCTTCTTCTGGTGCCTCTGCCGCCCCTGCTAGCGGAACGCTCTGCCTCCCTTCCTCGTTGTCTGGTTGGCCCTCCCATTAACCATCCTTAGCACCATCCTCTACTCCACCTCTGCTGCACCTGGTGCTGCTGCTGCTGCTGGTGCTGCTGCTGGTGCTGCTGACCATACAAGCAAGAAGAATCTCTAGATTGAGTGTGCTCCTGGTGCCTCTGCTGCTCCTGCTAGTGCAACGCACGCCTCCCTCCCTCTTTGTCTGGCTGGCGATCCCTGTCACTATCCTTGGCACCCTCACCTGCTCCTCCGCTGTGCCTACTGCTGCTGCTGCTGCTGCTGCTGCTGCTGCTGCTGCTGCTGCTGCTGCTGCTGCTGCTGCTACAGCTCATTGTGAAAAGTGCGAGAAGTTCTAAGCTCACACCACTGCTTCTGCTGTTAAGGGCGGTGCTGATGATGCTGGTGCTGCTGCTGCTGCTTCCTGCTTTTTTGCTTCGTATGGTAGCCCAAGGCACGCCTCTGTCCTCCTCCTGCTTCTACTAATGCTTGGTGTGGCGTTCCTCCTTCCGTCTCTGTCTGGCTCAGGGCCTCAGATATCAGGATGTTTTATCCTGAATTCCTGATTTTCAGGATGAGTATGAGGTGCCAGACCTGAAAAATCCGATTAAATGAATTTCTGACCCTGTAAATTCAGTATGGTTATCATATGACAACCCTGAGAACTCAGTATAGTGTTCGTGTACCAGCCCTGACTGCTCAGTATGAATTCGAGGATAACCCTGATACCTCGAATCTGGCTTCAGGGGGGGCGCTACGGGTGTACCCCCTGTTTTCTGCCCATAGTTCCATAATTTTCGTGCCAGCGCACATTTTGCCTGTAGATTGTTGCCGCGAAATGACCAGTTTGCCGCGTGCACTGCAAATCCTGTAATTCTGGCCAATAGCGGCTAAGTATACAGCCAGCGCAGCGCACCACAGCCAGGCCTCAGAAGGTGTTGGGGTGCTGCGGTCCACTCGCTGACGCAGCATTGCATGCATGGATGGTTGGACGGCCAACCACTCCATGTGGGGAGGACCAAACTCCCGCGCAGCCATCGCTCATGGTCCTTCCTCCCCACAGCTCCCTTTCATGCCTTGAATCATCCAACCATTCTAAACGATAGAGCTTGTGCTCGCTGGTCTGTTTCTCTGCTGTGAACCGCCCCCTCGTTAGGGGGCACTATGCTTGCGCCAGGATCTGACGACGAGGAGGAGGCTCCCGACGATCCTTCTACAGCGTCCCACCCGGGTGCCGTGACAGGATTAGACTTACTGCGAAGAAATCCTCCCGCATCGGCACCTCCCCCTCGAACGCACACCGCTGAAGTAGTAGAGGAGGCATCTCGCCATGTTGTAGCAACACCACCTCAGCGAAGCACTACGCCCCGCACTTCTTTTAATCAAGGGTCGACCCGTATTGGACCGCCGTCGAAGAAGCTCGAGCCCTCACGCTATCGGCAGGCAACCCTGAGTTTCGGGCGGTCGCAAAACACTCCCGCTCCGACTCTGCACGTCGTCCCTCCTGTTGTTTCAGGACCATCTACAGCTCCGACTTCGTCATCGGACACCGAACTTGAAGACGTGGCCGAACGAAAGTACCAGGAGGCTCTCTGGCAATTTAAAAAGCGGTGGAGTACTGACTTTCCTTGGCTTGTGCTTAATCAGACCCGTGCAGGATTCCCGGCTTTGAAGTGTAAGACTTGCATGGAACATGGCGGGCACGGAACGAACTACGGCAAGGGCGGAGAAGGTGCGACCGACGTCCAGACGCAGGCGATGCAAAACCACCAGCGCACGCGGAAGCACAAGAGAGCGATGCGGAGACAAGCCACCGCCACTGCGATCGCTGAGGGGCAGCTGCGCATGGAGGACTTGGCGAAAACACATACCGTCCAGAGCGAGCGTGTTACTGCACTGCTGGAGACTCTGCTTTTCATCTGTCAGTCCGACGCGCCCATCGAGATGTGGGTGCAACTTGTGCGGCACCTCTCAAAGCGACGTACTCCTGGTTTTCCCAAACGAGGCTACGGGTCTTACTTCACAACGTAAGTCCTTGGGTGTTTTATTCGTTTACTATTTAACATGTGTTGATCTCTCGCATGTACTAATCTCCCTGCATGGTTTGCGCAGGTATGGCTTTCAGGAGTTAACCAAGTCGACAGCCATGTACCTTCGAGCTCGTCAACGGGAGCACTTGGAGTCAAGCCCGTTCATTGGCTTGAGCTGTGACGAGAGTACCGACAGAGTTCGTGGCAAGCACATGATTGTGTTTGCTACTTTCCTTCGCGAGCGCATTGTTGTCACAGAGTTTCTAACGCTTCTTCCTGTCGACAAATGTGATGCAGCTTCTCTGGAAGGCTCTCTTGTTGCTTACCTCGATAGCATCGGCATCAGTCTCTCAAAGGTGTCGGGCATCAGCACCGACGGTGCCGCAGTGATGGTTGGAGCCACGAACGGGGTCGTTGGGCGCCTTCGACAGCGGATCCCGCATGTGGTTTCTGTCCACTGCATAGCGCATCGGTTCGTTCATGCATAGACTTCATATCCCGTTGAGAAAACCGTGCACTAACCACTGTTTCGTCGTGTTTCTACTCCCGTCCATCCAGGGAAGCCCTCGCGGCCAGAGATGCTGCCAACGCGCTGCCTGAGCTGGGAATTGTGGATGCCATCATCCGCGCGGTTGCTGAGCTGCTGGGGCGTTCACACAACTGGCACAAGATGTTCAAGGACCTCCAAAAGATCTTCACGGCGACAAATCTGGAGATGCAAGGGATTCACCTTGTTCGGTGGCTCAGTCGTGGCGGCGCCATTCTGAGGCTGGTGGCGGTGCTTCCTGCCGTCATCGTTCTGCTGCACCTCTACGACAAACCCATGTACCACATCGTCACATCGTACAAGTTTCACTTTTTCCTGTACTTCCTCGCCGACGTGCACGAGGAGCTCAACAGCCTCAATCTGCTGTTCCAGAAGCGCGAGGTGAGCCATTGCGGTTGCAATGGTTTCCAACCAATTCAAACAAAAAACATACTGCCGTCAATAAAAAAATTACTTACTTCCTCGTGTTCTTATTTCATCCCATGACACCCTCCTACAGATCGACCTGACGGGCGTGCAGTCGCAGGTACGGCGAACGATCGTCTTCATTCGTTCGCGCTACGTCAACTGCGGGCCTAACTTCGGCACGAACAGCGATCGCCTGTCCAAGTTTCTGGAGCGCCACGCCAGCAACCGAGATGTGATCGTGCAGGGCGTCGATGCAGACGGAATGGAGCGAGTGCATCAATTCGAGCTTCACGAGGAGCCGCTGCCAAACTACACCACTGCCCGCGGCGACAAAGCTTCCTGCACGCTCACCTGTCGCTCCTACGCGACCGAGCTCATCTACAACGTGCAGCTGCGGCTCGGCGACCTTGAGCGGCTCAACGGGTCAAAGCTGTGGATGCCCCGAACATGGCCGCGGAACACGGAGGCGAGGGACGAGGAGTGCGCCGAGCACTTTGACAGCGTGGTCGAACTCTTCCACGCCAGCGACCGCGTTGAAATTCTGCCAGGTAAGGTTATCCATGCCAATGTATATTATATGCCCAACTTGCTAAAATATTGCAGTTCCTGTATGAGTGTTGCTGATTTACGAGTGTTGCTGTTCCTGTATGTGTCTGGCAGGAGTCGACAAGCGGCTGGCACGCAAGGAACTCAGCACCCTCGTGCCAGTGCTTGCTGGTGTGCCAAAAGAGGAGCAGCCATTCCATGCCGGACTTGCAGCCATCCTGGAGACCAGCGACTGGCCGCGCAGCTACCCGAATCTCGTGCGCCTGTGGGTGGCTGTGGCAGTGCTTCCTCTCAGCACTGTTGAGTGCGAGAGGGGATTCTCGCGACAAAATGTGATTAAGAGCTGGAACCGGACGAGTCTGTGCAACGGGAAGCTGGAGGATCTGATGTGCATGAGTTTGCTAGAGTATGACATGAACTGGGATAGGGTCATTGAGGTGTGGCGCGGCATGAAGAAGAGACGGCCAAGGAGGGCCCACCAGAGCGAAGTGCGTGCGAGGAAGTCTGCCAAGGGCAAAGAGAAAGTGGTGGTGTTGTCCGAAGAGGAGCATGATGATGAGGCACGAGCGGACGATGAGAACAGCTGCTCCAGCAGCGGGTTTAGTTCTAGTGATGATGAGGAGGATGGTGGAAACTTCTGAGTCGAGCCACATGTATGCTGCAGTACTGTGAATATTGATTATCTCTGGTGTTATGCTGCTGCTATTATTATACTTAAAGCAACATTTTGGGCTGTTTTGAAGATTACCCTGAGGCTGCAGTTAAGTGCTGGATGCCAACCCTGACAAAACAGCATGAACATTGACGTCCAACCCTGACCAGTACACGTGTTTTTAAGGCCTAGCCCTGACTAGACAGGATGCCCAAAATCCTAGCTGAGGCCCTGGTCTGGCTCCCTTCAGCATTACAAAGTGATGGTATTTTTGTTGCGAAATAAGTGTTGCCATGCTATGCACATGTACAGTACTGACATCATGCAGGTATAATGGCTGCTGTTATGTATATTATTAACTATCAAAAAGTATCTAAGCCAGTAAATCGGCAGAAATGTGCACCCAAAAAAGAATGAAGTCATATTGTGTGTTGTCCGTAGCATCCTCCTCACACCCTAAAGCGTAACCACCAGTGCAATTATCCCGTTGTTCACAGCATAGCAGCTCCAGGGCTTGCCGCTGCGCTGCTCTTCTTGGTGGGGCTAAACACAAACCCTTCAAACAGGGAGTTGTCTAGCGGGTCCATTCCCAACACTGCATGCGTATCGATCTTCAGGTTGGGTTTCGCACTCCCCCCTGCCTTCCCTCCTGCTCCATTACCCCCTGCCTTCCCCCCTCCCCCTCCCCCACTGCACCCTGTAACGCCTGCAATCCCACTCTTCCAGTCCTGTGATTTGTTGCCAGTGCCAGCTGGAGTCTTTTCATTGGTGGAAGCCTGGGTCTGGGTGTGCTTAGCGGTGTCATTGGTGGGCTTCGTTGCACCTGCAACATGGCAGACATTGCAGGTTACTGCCACAATCAGTACAATAGCTAAGAACTTCAACAAGTGACAAAGAAGAGGGGGGGCGGGGGGAAGAGGTGACAAACGAATTGTGCAGGGTGGGAGGGGGGAGGGAGGGGGGAAGGAAGGGGGGGGGAGGGGGGCTTAAAGAGCGGGGGGCACCAGCATAATCACCATTGTGGTTGTCATTCGGTGCTGTGGAGGTGGGAGGCTCCAAGGGGTCGCTGACGTGGAGACCAGTGAAGCTCTTATCGAAGTTTGACACGTCCTCCAAGCCCTGTGTCCCAGTGGAAAGGACGGGGAAAGGGGGGATTTATGGGGGAAAGGGGCGCCTTTACAGAGAGCATCGCTGACGTGGAGACAGGTGAAGCTCTTATCGAAGTTTAACACGTCTTCAATCCCCTGCGATGCAGCACAGGGGATAGAACGGGGCAGAGGGAAGGGGGAGTGCATGGGTGGGGTGCATGGATGGGGTGCATGGATGGGGTGCATGGATGGGGTGCATGGATGGGGTGCATGGATGGGGTGCATGGATGGGGTGCATGGATGGGGTGCATGGATGGGGTGCATGGATGGGGTGCATGGATGGGGTGCATGGATGGGGTGCATGGATGGGGTGCATGGATGGGGTGCATGGATGGGGTGCATGGATGGGGTGCATGGATGGGGTGCATGGATGGGGTGCCATGGATGGGGTTGCATGGATGGGGTTGCATGGATGGGGTGCATGGATGGGGTGCATGGATGGGGTGCATGGATGGGGTGCATGGATGGCGTGCCATGGATGGGGTTGCATGGATGGGGTGCATGGATGGGGTGCATGGATGGGGTGCATGGATGGGGTGCATGGATGGGGTGCATGGATGGGGTGGCATGGATGGGGTGCATGGATGGGGTGCATGGATGGGGTGCATGGATGGGGTGCATGGATGGGGTGCATGGATGGGGTGCATGGATGGGGTGCATGGATGGGGTGCATGGATGGGGTGCATGGATGAGGCCATGGATATATATGTGGTCAATGATGTGTCGTCAGTCGATTCCACGTGTCGTAGAATCAAGCGGAAAGACTAAACATCTGCATCACTCCACCTCACTCACCTTGCTGCTTGGCACAAATGGGACCTCCCTTGCATACTGCCTGTCCCAGTCAACGCCACTTTCCGGTGACTTTTGAGCCTCCAGCTCCATCAAGGCTCCTCTAGTTCTCACCTTGCTGCTGGGCACGAATGGAGGATCCACCTCCCTAGCATATAGCCTGTTCCAGTTAACACCTTCATGTGCTCTGACTTCCCCCTCCCCACCCATCCCTCACCTTGCTGCTGGGCACAAACGGGGGAGGCACCTCCCTCGCATACAGCCTGTCCCAGTCAACGCCTCTGAAGAACTCGTGCCTCATGATCTCCGCAGCATCGGTGGGGCCCGCTCCGAGCCTCAGGCCCGGCTCCCGAATCAACAGCTGGAAGAAGGGTGGCAGGAGAGGAGGGTGGGCGAGTGGGGAGAGTCAATGGGGAGGAGGGGGTTCAGGAGGTACGGAGGAGTTGAATGCGGTGAGATGCCTGTGATGACTTCTGGTGGAAGAGTTTATGGTGGACAAATGAGTAAAATTGCTCCGAGGCGGATTGGGCGCTGCTCCGTTCGAGGTCATCACATCTCGGAGATTGCTCTTTCAGCTGATTGGGCGCTTGGGACATCACTCCTCCAAGGGAAACAAGCAAGAGAAAACACAGAGGAGGTTGAAACTGGAACTGGAACGAAAACCAAAGCCGAAACCGGAACCGCATCCGAAACATAAGAAATGCACATAGAAGAGATGGGCTTGGCACCTTGGTGATGAGGTCGCACCTTGGTGATGAGGTCGCGGAGGTAGAAGTTGGTGACGGTGGTGGGGAAGACCAGAGTCGCATTCACTATCTTGTTGTACATTATGTTCACATTGCGGTCGTAGAAGGGCGGCTGGGGATGGAAAGAAGTGTGGACAAGGGGGATGAGGAGAGAAAGGGGAAAGAGATAGGGATGCAGGAGTATGGGTGAAGTCAAACCAGCATTATTATTGGACCATGCTGTGCACCATGTCTTATGGAACCTGATTGCTGCTTCATATGGCCTAGCTATTCATCTCCCAATCATGCCATTCGCCATTGGGCCACCACAGTAAACCTTTGTTAAGCAGACACCATGCTGATTATTCAACAAGCATTCTATCTTAACACACCAACCACTCACCAGGCCTAGCACATAAATCGTCATCCACTCGCCACGCCAACCATTCACCATGCCAACCACTCATCAGGACTAGCACATTACTCGCCACGCACTCACCACGCCCACCACCATCTCGAAGAGGAGAATCCCAAGGCTCCACCAGTCCACGGCCCTGCCGTGCCCCTTTCCGCCCAGCACCTCGGGAGCTGCTCGAGAGCAGAAGGAAGATGTGGGAATGGGTTGGGGTTGGGAGTGGGAGGATCACGAAGGTAGGAAAGAAGGGAAGAAGGCTGAGGTTGTCCGGAGCCAGGGGATGGTGGGATAATTGCCTGGATGGCTGCTGCAACACCTGCAAGGTGCGGCAGAAACAATGCAGGCAAAAGTGGCTTCGCCCGGACTTGAACCGGAGACCTTCAGTGTGTTAGACTGACGTGATAACCAACTACACCACGAAACCGATGATATAGTGTGAAATGATATTTTTACAAACAGTGCAAACAATGTTACCTAGATACTCTGGTGTTCCGCAGAAGGTGGAGGCGGATGAGTTGTCGGCGATGTGCTCCTTGGCCAATCCGAAGTCCGCGATGCGAACGTGACCTGGCAGCACGGGACAGAGTGGATGAGGGGCATGGGGATTGACGGATGGACAGGAATGTGCCTGGCGGTCTTATCCAATGTCGTGCCAGCATGGCATTGGGTTCGGCTCGGGAATTAGTATGACAGGACCACTAGGAGGCTCAGGCCCAGTCTTAGATTCTTAGAATTTCAACGGGATCCTAGATTCTGGCTCGTGTTTCAAGCAGCACGCCCTCCTTTTTCTACCATTCTCCGGGCCTAGGGCTCACCTTGAGCGTCTAGAAGAATATTTTCCGGCTTCAAGTCGCTGCAACAGGGTTTAGGGAGACGGACAGGGGGGAGACGGACAGGGGGGAGACGGACAGGGGGGAGACGGACAGGGTGGTGGGATACACTCAAAACCTGGATTTCGGATTTCCGAGCGACGTCGATGGAAAATAATGTACATTTTTCACATGGTACAGTGCTCTGCTTAGCGAATGGTAGTAATTTTCGTTGCGAGTCGACTCAAAACGAAAGTACTCTGCTCAGCCAGACACCTCTCGTTCACAAAACCTCTCGATCGCATACCGAATAACGACGACGAGAGAGCGCACGTGGTGCCGGGCCAGGAGCAGCTCGGCTCGCGTAGAGGCGCGCTACTACGACCGCCAAGTCGCTATCATATATGTCCCATGTACCCGTCGCACACCCGTCGCACACCTGTCGCACACCCGTCGCACACCCGTCTCACACCAGTCGCACACCAGTCGCATTCCACTCGCACGCCAGGGACATACCGGTAAGTCACCCCCAGGGATTTCAGATGACCCCTGGCGAGCAGCAGCTCGGCGGCGTAGAGGCGCGCTCGGTCACATTCCAATGGCATATATGCCTCACATGCCAACCAACCCCACACCACCCGCACTTTTGAGGCGCCTCAAATGGCATACGCCTCACATGTCAATCCCACACCACCCGCACTTTTGAGGCGCCTCAAATGGCATACGCCTCACATGTCAATCCCACACCACCCGCATACCCCTGGATGACTGCCAGCGGGTGCAGATGACCCAGCGCTAGCACTACCTTTGAGGCGCCTCTAAAGTAGTCTCAGTTCACGCGGATTTTACATGGGGAATACACACCGACCCCACACCACCCGCATACCGGTAGATGACTCCCAGCGAGTGGAGATGACCCAGCGCCAGCAGCAGCTCGGCGGCGTAGAGGCGCGCGCGGTCCTCCTTGAAGCGGCGCTCGCGCTTGAGGTGGAAGAAGAGCTCGCCACCCGGCATGAAGTCGAGAATTAAAAACAGCCGAGTTTCCGACTGCAGAGCCCAGCGCAGCGGGACGAGAAACGGGTGGCGCACCTCCTGCGGGTCGGGATGGGTGGGGAACATGGCACCTGGTGATTGTCCTTTGAGCGCCTCACGTGCTCGACGTGGAAGAAGGGCTCGCCGCCCGGCATGAAATCGAGTTTCGGACTGCAGAGCCCAGCGAACGGGTGGTGCACTTCCTAGGAACGGGTGGGGACTTCCTAGGAACGGGTGGGGCAAGGAACGGGTGGTGCACTTCCTAGTGGGTGGGGACAGGGTGGGGAGGGAATACAGCACTTGGGCATTTCAGCCAACAGTGATTTGCCTCTCGCGCTTGAGGTGGACGAAGAGCTCGCCGCCCGGCATGCAGTCGAGAATGAGGAACAGGCGCGTTTCTGACTGCAAGGCCTAGCGCAGTGGGCAAGAGATACGGGTGGCGCGCCTCCTGAGGGTGTGTATGGTATGGTAACAGGGAGGGGGACGGACAGTTTTGAGGCCCAGGGTAACAGTTTTGAGGCCCAGCGCAGTGGCACGAGCAGCCGGTGGCGCGCCTCCTGAGGGTGTGTATGGTAACAGGGAGGGGGACGGACAGTGGTGGTTTGAAGCGCCACTCGCGCTCGAGGTAAGGTTTTCGTGAGCGTCTGGTGCAGCTGCTGTCGCCTCATGCAGCTGCTGTCGCCTCATGCAGCTGCTGCCACCTCATGCATACACGTCTACACGCACAGGTGCATCCATACATGCGTACAGAGACGCACAGTTACACACATTCACACACATACTCATACATACCCTTCCCACACACCCACACACACTCACTCACAGACTCACGCACTCACTCACACACACTCACACCCACACACACACACACACGCACACACACACACACACTCACCCACCCACCCTCCAACCCACCTGCAGCACGTGTCTCTCTGTCAGCGTGTGCTGCAGCTGCTGCCGCCGCATCACTGCCGCCTTGTCCAGCACCTTCATCGCAAACACCTGGCCGCTGGGCGCATGGCGGACCAGCAAGACCTGGGAGGTGCAAGGGTGAGGGGTGGGTTCATGGGAAAGGGCCAGCAAGACCTGTGTAAGCGGCAGGGGCATGGTGGGAGGGATGGGGCATGGTGGGACGAATGGGGCATGGTGGGGCATGATAGGAGGGTAAGAGAGGGGTGCTGTTGCCTCATCACAGCCGCCTTGTGCAGCACATACATGGCAAACACCTGCCCAACAGCGCCTTTGTGAGTGGACAATGGACAGGTGCGACAGGTGAGGAGAGGTAGCGAGCAGAGGTGGGGTGCAGCAGTGGAGAGACAGGGTGACTTTCGAGGCATGGGTGGAGCAGAACCTGCTTTTGAGTCGACTCAAAAGCACACTTTCGGGGCACGGGTGGAGCAGAACTTGCTTTTGAGTCGACTCAAAAGCAGACTTTCGGGGCATGGGTGGAGCAGAACCTGCTTTTGAGTCGACTCAAAAGCAGACTTTCGGGGCATGGGTGGAGCAGAACCTGCTTTTGAGTTGACTCAAAAGCAGACTTTCGGGGCATGGGTGGAGCAGAACCTTCATCGCATCCGAGAAAGCTTCACCAAGTTTTATTTACTGGCACATCTTCAAACAGACACGTGTGATGGTAAACGTTGGTAACGGCTGGTAACAGTTACCTTGGCGAAGCTGCCCTTTCCGAGGACCTTCAGTGGGATGAAATCCGTGATCTCCACAGGTGGTGCCACGTCAGTATTGATGGTGCTGGCGATGCTGTCAGCATCCTGCATTGCCACGTCATTCCGTGTGCCCTTAAGAAGGGAGTAGCAAGGGTGGGGTAGAAGCACAGGAGGGAGGGAGGAGGGAGTGGGAGGGGTTTGGTATCTCGCTCGATGTGTTGCCCTTCAGGGAGGGTAGCGGCGGAGGGGCACAGGCAAGGGAGGGAAGAGGGGGGTGAGAGGAAGCTGGTGACAGTCTTGCGCGTTGCTGTCAGCAGCATCCGGCGTTGGCGGGTATTTTTTAGGCGCCTAAAAAATGGACTCCTCACGTTGGCGTGTCGTTCCGTGTGTTCTTAAGGGAAGGGTAACAAGGGTGGGAGAGAGGCACAGGAGGGAGGAGGAAGTGAGAGGGGTGGTTGGTATCTCGCTCGATGCTGTTAGCAACATCCTGCATCGACACAACAATCCGTGTGGCCTTCAGGCGGGAGTGGCAAGGAGGGGGAGGGGGGGGGGGGGGTGAGATGGGATGGGATTGGCGTTCGGTGCTGTCGGCAGCATCGTGCATCGACATGACAATCCGTGTGCCCTTCAGGGGGTACAAGGAGGGAGAGAGAGGCATGGGAGGGACCGGGGGGGATGGAATGGGATGGGATTGGCGTTTGGTGCTGTCAGCAGCATCCCTCGTTGGCGTGTCATTTCGTGCTACCTTAGGGGGTTAGCAGCACAGGAGGAAGAAGGAGAGGGGTGGGATGGGGTTGGAAGCGGTGCAAGAGCCCACATACCATTGTGTTCTAGGCCGGGGATACTGTGTGGTCACACTGGATATGCATTTGAAAATTAAAATTTGAATTGCTTACCATCGAAGTTACTTTAGGTGCAGCTTCAGCTGTATCTTCTGCTGTCTCTGCCCCTGACCCCGCCCCCACCACCGTTTCTGCACGGGGGGAGGTGGGCGCGGAGAAGGGGAAGACCCGCGCCGATGCTGCCGCCCAGAAGGGGCGGATGGACTGGTTGGGGGGGGGAGGGGAGGGGGGAGCGGAAAGAGGGGAAGGGGGGTGTGGGTAGGAGAGGGGAGGGGAGTGGTGGACGAAGAGAAGGGGAAGACCCGCGCCGAAGCTGCCGCCCAGAAGGGACGGATGGAGGACTGTGGTGTGGGGGGCGGGGGAAGGGGTAGGGGGAGGTGTGGGTTGGGGGGGGTTGGGTGAAGTGGGTAGGAGAGGAAGAGAAGGGTGGGTGCAGAGAAGGCGAAGACACGCGCCGATGCTGCCGCCCAGAAGGGGCGAATGGACTGGTGAGGGAATGGGAGGTGGGGCAGGGGAGGGGGAACAATAGCGGGGTAGATTGAGGAGGGGACGAGGGGAGGGCGTTGGGCATGGGTGCGTGATAGAGGGGAAGACACGCACTAATGCTGCTGCCTAGAAGGGGCAAATGAATGGCTCGGGAGTTTGGAGGATGTGGACGGTGTGGGGGGAGAGGAGGTGGGGGGGATGGCTGCTGCATGGGTTGGTATGGGCGTGGTTGGCGCAAAGGACTATGCATTACTTGCCTTGATTTTGGTCCGGACTGAAGCAAGCAGGTCCTCCTGATCCTGCCATGGGGAAATAAGAGGGGTACAAAAAACGGCCATCAATGCACGATGGAAGGAGGGAGCTCTCTTCCCAGAGTCTAAGAATGAGTTGTCGCAAGCACGTACAGACAGAGTGAAACGTGTCATGCATTCTGCTAAGAATGCAAAAACGTACCACCACTCCCACGTGGATGCTCGTCGACGCTGGCAGCTGGGGTCGCTCCGAGTTAAGAGCCAGGGCCCTCTCGACCGCCATGGCTGCTTCCACTGCGAACATGGACGCCGCCAGCTGGCAGATGGTGGGTGCGAGTGGCGTGCACAGGACGACGTCTCTCTCCTGAGACAAGGGGCGAGGGTGAAAAGGTGGGGGAATGTTTGAGAGCTAGGGCGCTTTCAAACGCCATGGCTGCTTCCACTGCGAACACCGATGCCGCCAGCTGGCAGATGGTGGGCGAGCGGTGTGCACAGGACGGCGTCTTCTTCCTGAGAGTAGGGTTTCAGATCAGGGCAATATCAGGGATTCAGCCCTGGTATTTTTGAGGCGCCTCAAAAAGGGATTCAGCCCTGGTATTTTTGAGGCGCCTCAAAAAGGGATTCAGCCCTGGTATTTTTGAGGCGCCTCAAAAAGGGATTCAGCCCTGGTATTTTGAGGCGCCTCAAAAAGGGATTCAGCCCTGGTATTTTTGAGGCGCCTCAAAAAGGGATTCAGCCCTGGTATTTTTGAGGCGCCTCAAAAAGGGATTCAGCCCTGGTATTTTTGAGGCGCCTCAAAAAGGGATTCAGCCCTGGTATTTTTGAGGCGCCTCAAAAAGGGATTCAGCCCTGGTATTTTTGAGGCGCCTCAAAAAGGGATTCAGCCCTGGTATTTTTGAGGCGCCTCAAAAAGGGATTCAGCCCTGGTATTTTTGAGGCGCCTCAAAAAGGGATTCAGCCCTGGTATTTTTGAGGCGCCTCAAAAAGGGATTCAGCCCTGGTATTTTTGAGGCGCCTCAAAAAGGGATTCAGCCCTGGTATTTTTGAGGCGCCTCAAAAAGGGATTCAGCCCTGGTATTTTTGAGGCGCCTCAAAAAGGGATTCAGCCGTGATATTGTCTAAACCCTACTGGCTGAATCCGAATTCAGGTCTCCGGCTTATCTCAACGCCAGCAGAGACACTCTCCAAGAACAATGCGCCATTGACTGCGTTGACTGTCGCTAACTGGGTTTGACTCACGTTGACTGCATTGACTCGCCTCGACAACGCAGGTGGAGAACATGTCATTGGTTACTTCACGTCGTTGACCTCATTGACTCACATTCACGATGCCGATGGAGAGCATGCCGTTGCTCGACGACAGCAGCAGCCTCGACACCGACAGCACCGGAATGCACTGCCGCAGCTTCCCTCTCACCCTCGCCGAGGTACTGTTCATAGCTGGTAACGTGTTACTCTGTAACGTGCCAGTAACGGGCTGCGCCGCTGGCTCCTCGTCGCCTGGGACCCCACCAGGAGCCATTCCGCCGCCATTCTCACCCTTTTGCGTCCTCTGATTCGTCGTCACATCCGCGTCAGTAACTTCCCCGAATGTTTCAACTTCCGAAGTTAGGGCGGCAGCAGCTGCAGATACTGCAGCAGCGGTAGTCGGAGAGGCGGCGGGGTATTCGTCAGACCTTGCATCGATCTCATCGTCTTCTTCCGAGCCGCTTCGCTCCTCGCTGGTGACCTCGAGGAGGTACAGAGCGCGGGACGTCAGCAGGAGCGTCAGCGGCTGACGGATTCCGTCAAAAGTTGACGGATGGTAGGCGGCAGCGGGCTTGAGCTGCTGGACGAACGCGGATAGCATATCCTTTTCCGACGGCCTTCCTCCTGTAATTTGCGATTGTAAGTTCAATGCCCTAAAACAAGTCGTGAAGTGTACTACACCTCTTTAGTATCACAACTCGCGACCTCCTTACCGAGCGACCTGATGAGACTGGCAATCGGAATCGACGACGCGTTCTGTTGCTGGTTATAATCTCCTTCGTCGCACAGCGCTTTAGTGGAGAATCTCGCGCCGAGGAGCCTCCTAGGAAGCACGAGCGAGAGCCGCTCTAGCTGCTCATGCGCCTCACGGTGCGCAGGATATGAGTCCAGAGGTTGCGACATAGTGGACGAGTACTCGTCAGACCAAACGCTGACGGTGGTAACAGATGAGGGCAGACAAGGGAGAAATACGGAATGTTTCCCTGCTTGCTGTTGACTGCTAAGAGCAGCAAAATCTGGAAGCGTTTTTGGTCGTGTGAAGCCGGTGCTGGGAGAACAACTGCTGAAGAAGGGCAAAATTGGGCTCGCCTGGGGTGGGGGGTGGGGGAGGGGGAGGGGAACAGGGTGCAGCGAGGCTCCAACCAAATTCCGCGAGTTTGTGCCGTTTCGTCTTCGCAAATTGACGCGCCGCATTCTGTGAAACGCCGAGTCGCACTCCAGGGATGTTATCAAGATTGGGGGTGAGAGGCACGCGCCGTTTCGCCTCCTTCAACAAGGCTGGGCAATTATTAATGGGACATGTACACTTGCGTTATCCATAGAAGAGAGTGATTCGTACGATTAATCCACCAAATGATTTAAACACATACATTGCTCCATGTTTGGCTAAATCTGATGCCAAGTAACGTGAATTGATCTGATTGCTTGTGCGAAGACGTTGAGATACGTAGTAAACAATGAGTAAGGCAACTGTATCAAGTTTGCATTTCCATGCAAAGATTGATGAGATGATAAGAGGTCCTTAAATAGCCAGTGCTGAGAATACAGTAGCTAAATGACCACACACTCATCTAACACTGAAGCTGATTCAACTCCCCTTCTCCCATGCAATCCAGCATGGCTCTCACCAGGGCATCATCCAACAACTCCAAGCCCTGAGGAGAAACATCTCCCAGTAAGCAACCCATGTCATCCATACCTGCCAAACCCCCTCCGAAGATCCCTAGCCCATCCTCAACGACAGCTTCTTCCTTATGAACCGGATCAGTACAGGTATAGTCCGTCCGCGTGACGTCACTGGACGGCGAGCTGGGCCCACTGGCCTTGTATACGGCTACTTCAGCCACCGAACCCTTCAATTCCGCATCGTGTTCAATCGTCCGCAATCTCTTCTGCACGTGTGCTGTCTCGTCGCAGGCCGGAACAGCTTCGACGAAATCCGCTGTGCGACAAGCAGGCGACACCGCCGACGGGAGCTGCGACGGAACCTGCGATTGCCTCCCAGTCGCACCGATCTCCCTCCGTAACCGCTCTACCTCGTCCTTCATCCGCTGATTCGCATCGCGCATGCCTTCCATGCTCGCCTCTGCCTCCTTGAGCTTCCGGTTCGCCTCCTCGCACGCGCGCGTCAGAGCCGCCACCTCGTCCTCCAGCTCGTCCAGTCGCTCGCGCTTCCGCTGCCGCGAGCGCTTCGCCGACTGGCGATTCGACAGGATCCGACGGACCTTCTTCTCGTCGTCCTCGTCGGATTCCAGCCTCGCGCCGCTGCTGGCGAAATTGCTGCTAAGAGGACTGATAGGGCTGATCGGAGTAAGAGAGCTGATAGAGCCCGCACCTGCGATGTTGCTGTGGCTGAGGTGGCTTATACCTGACCCGATGTTGCTAGTAAGGGGGATAGCACCTGATACACTCACGCCGGGTACTGTCACGCCTGATCCGACGTGTGATCCGTTCGTCAGGATCTGATTCAGAACAATTGATGCGGGAATCCCCAGAGGCGCCGAACCCCCGGCGGGAATCCCAGGAGACGCGGAAAGAAGAGGATGAGAGGTGAATGCGAGCGGAATGGCGGATGCTTGTTGGAAGGAAGCAGCAGAAGCAGCAGCGGAGAGTAGAGAAGGAGTCTCGGCGACAATAGATGGGAAAGCCAAGGAACTGCCGCGGATGCCGGTTGACGGAGATCCGACGGCTGAAGTTGGCTGCTGACGGCTGATCGTTGAATTAACTCGCCTCCGTAGCTGGGCCAGGAGGTGCTGCTGGCTCGCGGTCTGCTCATTCCGCTGCGTCGCCGTCTGCTGTTGAAATGAAGCTTGGTGCTGTTTACCCGCCGGTACCCCCGGTACCCCCATTTTTTTCACCGCCGGTTCCTGAGCTTGAAAAACGGCCATGAATTGAGAAACTGCTTGGTCGAATTCTTCTGAAACGCGTGGACGATTAGGAAGGTCATCTGACGGGAGATTGGGATTGGAGGAGGGACCGACGAGGCCGAGAGGGGCTCGCTTGATCTCCGGTGGGAAACACATGATGGCTTGTAGGAACTACCGAGGCCTTTGAAACGCTGCTGGCAAATCTACGCGGGTCTCGACTCGATGTTGTAGTCGACTCAAAACTCGGCCTGCAGGCTAATTTACGCTGGTCACGCTGCTGAAACGAAGGTTAGAGCGGCAAGCTGAAAGGAAGGTACTACCAGTGAGGGTGCAAGCGAAGTTGATAACAGCTAAATGTGGAATCATTCCTGGAAAGGAAACTATAGAAGTGATGCGATCAGCCACCGGAGAGGAGAACCAAGGAGAGGAGAGGAGCACTGAGGTGAGGAGAGGGGCACTGAGAAGCTGGAAGGAGAAGCTGGGGAAATAACAGGGGAAGGGGGGGGTGTACCTGTGGGTGGGGAGGAGAGGTGGGTTGAAACTTGAAAAGCCTTCACACTGCAGAGTGGCTTGGGGGTTTGTGGTGTGGCCGCTTTGTTGTCTTTGCTGGGTTGAGTTGGTTTCGGTTGGTTTCAGTGAGATGAGGATGTTGGGAGGGACAGAGGAAGAGTGAGGTCGTGTCTGTGAATGTGAAGCTTCTGTGAGATCTGTTCAGGCTGGATGGGAAGGGGGGAAGTCCGCGTAGAAAGCTTGCGAAAGCAGTCGCATGGTCGCTGGTTGCTGCTGCCGAATCACTGGTTTGATACGTACGTGATCCTCGTGTCATGTCGAAGAATGTGTGGATACGAGGGAGGTCCAGCTGTCTCGGCGGGAACGGACGGCCATGGTGCGATGGAGATGAGGCTGCCCGGCGCTGATCCCGGGCAATCGACGGCTGAGGAGGCTCAAGCTTGCACCGCAAGTCAGTAGTGCTCCTTGTTTGTGATGAGGTCGGCGGCGTTCTGGCAAGTGCACCCACCAAACCAAGTCATTTTTTTGGGCGTTTAGGATCCAGTAGGGTGACCCGCCTGGAAAAATGACTTCGCGGGGTTTAAATTCAGGGAGTATTTTTCGGCGATTTTCAGACCCGAGGTTGACCCGCGGCCGAAGGAGCCGCAGGCTGTCAAAACCTAGCTGCGGGTTTCTTGACAGTGCAGTGGCTGCATAGTCGCGAAATGTCGCAAGGGGAGGGTTGCGACAACACTAGCCGAACTTTGCGAGTCCGCCATAAACTTTCGAAGTTATGATTGGTGGAAGTTCATTTGCGCGACTTTGTTAGTTGTTCGGCTTGACAGCTGACTGGCTGGAACCGTCAGTTTTTCGCAACAGCCGAGGCATTTTTTTTCCTGCCTCGAATCTTCCCGCTAAACCCTCGAGTCTAACACTCGCTGCGGAATACCCCTTACGTGCCTCCCTCAACCAGCAATTGCTGACCTAGATTTTCTATTGCCATCACAATGTGCGAAGTTAGTAGCATGGCAACCTGAACTGAACTGATGGAAGGAATCGATGGTCTACATCTCTCGACATCCCCCAACAGATGTCGTTGGATGTCGAAAATTCACTTTGGTTGGACGGACACCCCGTAAACAAAGTACACCCTAAATCTCGTTAGAATCGATCGTGTGTGTCAGGCCTGCTGCGTTTGTTTGTTTTTTTTTTTTTTTTTCGGAATGTGATTGTACGTGACCTCCCGGGGAGCCGACCGCCAGGGGTATTTCCCGAGCCCCCGAAAAAGTATGGGTGTATACTGGAGTGACAAGTGTTTGGTCCCACGTGGAGGGAAACCATTGAGTTAAAAATACAAAGAAATACAGAGGAAGGGATCGCAACAGCCAGAAAGACCCGCGCACTGTAGCGAACCCTCAACTCTCGACAGAATGAAACAGAATGTTCCGAATGGAGGGTTCACGCGACTAGGAGCTTCTTGAATCAGCAGCTCAACCCGTCAAGGTCTGTGTTTTTTCCCACACTAAGCCTTATTTGGTCCAGGGCAATGTGAAATTGTACGTGACCGCCCGGGGAACCGACCGCCTGGGGTATTTCCCGAGCTCCCAAAAACGTAGAGGTGTATCATGGAGTGACAATTAATTGGTCCCACGTGGAGGGCAACGTTAGAGGAGTTCCAAAAAAAAAAGGGGGGGGGGGGGGGGGTGGGGGGCAACAGCCAGAAAGGCCCGCGCACTGTGGCGAACTGTCAACGCTCGACAGAATGAAACAAAATGTTACGAATGAAGGATTCACGCGACGAGGAGCTTCTGGAATCAACAGCTCAACCCGTTAAGGTCTGTGGTTTTCTCTATTTCTACACTATGCCATATTTGATCCAGGGCAATATGAAATCCCATTTCAGAAGCCGATCTTGGCAATGACTGTATCCGCTTTTTCATGCTTCGTGATTTGAGACAAATGAGGTATATGGTGTACACGCACACTGAGTGTTGGACAAACTGGACAATTCGTTGGATAAAAAAAAAACGCATGAAATCCGCACTCACAGTCAGAGTTTGGTGGTCCGATGAGGTACACATGAATTTTTTTTCAAGCTCTCGGACGGGTACTTCAGGATCGAGCGCCAAATTTTCACCAGCGACATGGGCCAATATAGGGTAGTCTGGTTACCTAATCGGCATTTTAGACTAAATCGGGTGACCATTGTTGTTTCTTTTGCGTTCCTTGGGCAACAGTTTGAGGCCTCATAACGTCCCACCTGCACGTTTGGAGGTCTCAGTATCAGATGTGGGAACTGTTGGAGATCAGTCGGCCTCTGTGGGCTAGGCCATTTCCCGTGTGTTCGAACCAATGGGTATGTAAACAAACACGTAGTGTCTATTGAATGGACAATGTACTGGAATATCGGTGTACTGTAATGAATGCCGACGTGTGACGCAACTGGGAGGAGGCGGTGGAGAGACACAGCCAACTGCGGCATATTGGTGCGAAAAATCGTAGGAAGTCTCGCCACACGACCAGATCAGACTTGCTGATGGGAAGTTGCAACCTTTCGGTCAGCCAAATGTCAAAGAATCACGCACATCTGGGGAAATCGGTTTGGGGAATCCAATCCTGTTATGATTTCAGCACTTATGCGGAAAATGAAATCCCGAGTTTCCCCAGTCATAGGGCTGTGAATTGAACTGGGTTTCGTCCTCGCGCTGTTGGTTCCCCCCTTATTCGCTGTGCCTTGTTTTCATGTAGCCATGTGCCTATTTTAATACTATTGCTAACGTTTGTCATTGATCTTATCTCACCTACCGTATTCCCCCGGATAAAACACCCACGGGTGGCACTAAATTGTGATGAAAATTTAGTGGGGGAGACACTTTTTGTATAACGCCCGGGGGCTATGGAATGACAATTTTATGTTTATGAAATGGAATTGAACTGCGTTGTAGACAGTTCTTTTGTGCCGAATTTTGACGATTCTTGCACGTGATCGCGTATATGGTGAGGAGGACCATCGTCATGCCACGTTGCAGGCAAACAGTCATAGGTTGCCTGCGCCACAGGTTGTCACGTTCTGTCAAATCGTGGTGGCAAGTGGCAACCTCGACGCCACAATGTGATAACGCACCAAAGCTGGAAGGAAACTGCTGCACATTCCTTTACGACCCAACCAGGGCCGACCGACATGGATTCTCCCGCACTGCAAACTGTTGACTATGAGGAGCGTGTTCCCATGAGCCTCGTACATTATCAGACTCGCAACATTCTCCCGAGTGACGGGAATTCCAGGCATGGTAACAGTTCTACACCGCATTGAACCACTTCGCGTCCAGCTTGCACTGCTTAGTGACGCGCGAGTCTGATAAGAGACACTCTGATAAGAGGCAAAATCTACAGAAATCCATTGAAATTGAACCAGGGGGGTGGTGTATAGGTTTCATGCCAAAAACTAGGGTGGTATGAATATCTAGTTTAATAAAGCACCCAGGTCCGCCCAAACCACCTATGGGTGATTAATTCCGGCGGGTGTTTTATCCGGGGGAGTACGGTAAGCCCAATTTTTTAAATGCCTAATACCACACTAACTCACTGCAAGATTGTTGTAATTCTCACGGGTAAAGTTTGTCATAACTCTTATCTCACCTATGCCCAACTTTTTAAATGCCTAATACCACGCTTACTCACTGCAAGATTGCTGTAATTCTCACGGAAAAAGTTTGTAGGCAAACTTGGCATGTAATTCTCATTGTTGTGATATAATTGATACTTCACATTTATGTAAGTCGATTAGGTGTAGATAGTGTCGAATCCTACTGTAGAACACAAGTCCGTAGGATGACGTCAGCAAATAACGCTCGTCATAGGACAATCGTTTTCAGTTACGCGAACAGTCGCACCTCTTCATTGTCGTTTAGAGCGCATAGCGCGATAGTAACGAACATGTACATTAGCCAATAGGTACTTTTTTAGAGATATAAATCTTTGCTGTGTTCTTTTCATTGTTAACCTTGAGATTTAAACTTTGAAAACTTAGAGACTTAAACTTCTGCAGAATCATATACTCAGGTTCATTCTTACAAGACTTCCACTGTCTTACTAATCTACCATTCCAGTAAAGATCCTGGACTAACACTTGAGAATTTCCAAGTGTTCGTGTTTGCAGTTTTATACTTAGTCTTCTACAATATTGGACAAGTTATTTCATGGTATGAGAGCTATCTGGAATTAAGACTACTGTCAACCATGACTGGTTCATCACCAGCACCGTCTGCCGGATCAACTTCCGGAACTACTGGAGTACATGTCTCCACGACCGCCATTGGTCTCTCAGCCTCTGGGCCGTTTCCACCAGCCTATGCTCATATCGGTATGCAACAGCAGAATCCGCCTTCTGTTAACACTCGAGGTGTTTCTTCGACTGCACCTGCAGCGCAACAACAACAATCACAGACAACAGCAAAGCAACAAGCGTCAGTACAGCCACCAGTTTCAACGCAATCAATTTCATCTGCGTTCAGTGGAATGAGCCTTGATGGCTCAAGTTATATGCGTGGAGCCACAGCTCCAAGTACTGGTTCGTTCACTTTCTCACCTTTTGTACAGCAGCCGCAGTCGCAGCAGTTTCAGCATCCCTTCTACATTTTCGGTCGTTCCCCTGCTCAGCAATAGCAACAACAGCAGCATCATCAGCAGTCATAGCAATCCTAACAGCAACAGCAACAACAGCAAGAGCAACAACAGCAACAGCAACAACAGCAAGAGCAACAACAGCAACAGCAACAACAGCAACAGCCGGGTATTGCTTTTCAGCCTCCAAATTTACTTAACAGCACACAGATAAAAACCACTATACCTTTTAACGGAGTCGACTTCTACTCCTGGAGCTTTGAGTTTGAGCTTCTGGCGCAGTCCGCTGGACTATGGCCGTTCTTCACCGGCGAGTACACGTATCCTGTCGTGGGAACACAACTAGAGC